AGACGAGTTGAGTCGTCGCTCGTTCCAAACTCACGAGTGGGAACTGGATCCAGTTGTGTTCCACACACTATGCCGCAGATGGGGGACGCCCTTGACAGACATGTTTGCGACTTTGGACAACAGAAAGTGTGACATGTATGCTTCATGTGCGGGGAGAGACAAGGGATCATTAGGGGATGCTTTCATGATCCCTTGGAATATGGGCCTTCTTTACCTCTTTCCATCGATACCCATCATTCAAAGAGCCCTGATCAGGACGCTCCAGATGGAAGCAGACACAATTTTCATTGCTCCATGGTGGCCACGACAACCATGGTTCTCCATGCTTCTGCAATCGGCGGTGGACAAGATGAGGCTGCCCCTTACTCCACATCAGATCACCCAAGATTCGGGGAATGTCTTTCACCCGGACCTGGAGTCCCTTCACTTGATAGCTTGGAGGATATCCCATCAATAAAAGAGGTTATTGACAAGGCTAGAAAGCCAGCTACCAAGCTTCTTTACAAATACAGTGGTGCCTAGCACAACGATTGCTTCATACAACGATGAATTCACACAGCGATGGGTTTCCTTGAGGAATTTCCCCCATCGTTTAACGGTGTTCTCTGTGGGGGAATTTCACTTAACTATGTCCCTTTTTCGCTCCTGTAAAAGTGTCTTAAACTGTTAGAAACCTGTTTTAAATGCTTGCAATAGTTAGCCCACCTCCTGAACCCTATGCAAACTTAATTTGGTGTTGTTCTGAGTCGTTGTTAATTTTTGGTGATTTTTTAAATTCTCCATTGAAAGCCTTTGAATGGTCCGTTCAAAGGCTTTCAATGGAGAATAAAAAAAATCACCAAAAATTAACGACGACTCAGAACAACACCAAATTAAGTTTGCATAGGGTTCAGGAGGTGGGCTAACTATTGCAAGCATTTAAAACAGGTTTCTAACAGTTTAAGACACTTTTACAGGAGCGAAAAAGGGACATAGTTAAGTGAAATTCCCCCACAGAGAACACCGTTAAACGATGGGGGAAATTCCTCAAGGAAACCCATCTTTTTTTCTCATTGAAAAGCATTGGACGGACGGTCCAATGCTTTTCAATGAGAGAGAGAAAAAATCACCAAAAATTAACGATGACTCAGAACAACACCAAATTAAGTTTGCGTAGGTTTCAGGAGGTGGGCTAATGATTGCAAGCATTAATCTGTTCCAATTGGAACGGATTAACCGGTTTTCAATGCATTCCTATGGGAAATGGTATTTCACTTAATGATGTTTTCACATAACGATTTTTTAAATGGAACCAATTAACATCGTTAAGCGAGGCACCACTGTATAAGTGGCAGAGCTTCCTCAAGTTCACTAAGGAGCGCGACTTACAGTCCTCACCTGTGGCGTTATCTACGCTCCTACTCTAACTTAGGCATTTGTTTGACTTAGGCCTTTCCAAGTCTACCTTGAAAGTGTACACTTCAGCCATTGTTGCCTTTCAGCCCCATGGCTCTCAATCATCCAGGTGGTTTTCGCATCCAACACTGTAGACCTTTTTCAAGGGTCTTTCCAACATGAGACCCCCTGTAAGGAGACCTTTACCACAATGGTCGTTACAACTGGTGCTTCATTCTCTTACTGATTTCCTTTCGAGCCTATGGCTACTTGTGACCTTTGGCTGCTTTTCAAAGACTTTGTTTCTAGGGGCCATCACTTCGGCTCGTAGAACCAGTGAGTTGGCAGCACTTCGTGCAAACTCTCCCTTCCTTCAATTTTTCAAGGACAAGATGGTTTTACACCCTGATGTTTCCTTCCTCCCTAAAGTAGTTTCGGAGTTTCATGTTAATCAACCTCTGTTGTTACCTACATTGTTTCCCAATCCAGTTTCTGACGTTGAGTGCATGCTCCACTCTTTGGATGTTCGATGTGCACTCTCTTTTTATGTTACAAGAACCAAGGAATTTAGACAAGTTCAAAGGCTTTTCATCTGTTTTTATGGTCAGCGCAAAGGTTCTGGTGCCTCCTCCTCTACTCTGTCCAGATAGTTGGTTTCCACCATTTCTCTGGCCTATGAACTACAGAACAAGCCTCTCCCTGAAGGTCTCAGAGCTCATTCCACCAGAGCTGTTGCCACGTCCACAGCCCTGCTGCGGGGAGTTGACATTCCTGACATCTGCAGAGCAGCTACCTGGTCCAATGTGTCTACTTTCATCTCACTGGATGACTATAGACTGGACCTACGGGCCAAGAATGAAACCAAGTTTGGGAGAGCAGTGTTCAAATCAATTCTGCAGTGATGGCCCACCTTCCGGTAAGTGAGCTTGCTAGTCACCCACTTGTGTGGATTCATAGAGACCGTGTTGAAGAAGGACAGGTTACTTACCTGTAAACATGGTTCTTCAAGTGGATCTCTATGAATACACACATCCCGCCCAGCCTCCCCACTGTCTGTCACTGTATAGTCGGATCCAACTCTGACTATGTGGCGGGCATATGGAACTAAGGCTTGGCGGGCGGAGCATGCGCAGTATAGGGCAACCTATAATCTTTTACTTTTTCCTATAGCTCTAGAACATTCCGAGAGGACCAGCGTAGGCGCTGTTTAACCCACTTGTGTATATTCATAGAGATGCACTTGAAGAACCATGTTTACAGGTAAGTATGCTGTCCTATCTAGGTTTGTCATTGCTTTCCTCCTGAGAAGCAGGTGTCTTTTAATTTTGTGGCTGCTGTCACCATCTGCAGTGATCATGGAGCCCAAGAAAGTAAAGTCTCTCACGGGACCAGTGACCATGATCTTAGGGTTTTTTTGATATTGCGCTTCAGACCATTTTTGCTCTCTCCTCTTTCACCCTCATTAAGAGGTTCTTTAATTCCTCCTCACTTTCTGCTATCAGAGTGGTATCATCTGCAAATCAGAGGTTTATATTTCAGAAATCTTAATTCCAGTTTGGGAGTCATCCAGTCCAGCCATGAAATATGGCGGCAAAAAACAAACAAACAAAAAAACAAAAACAAAAAAACCACACTTAAAATGTCAAGAATGTCAGATTCTCTTTGACCAGAAGTGGTGAGAGCTTGAGATGTTTGTAGAAACCTTTCCTCCCCTTTAGCCATCATCCAGAGGGTTGACGTCGATGGAGTGAGTATGTTAAGTGCTGTACCAGTGAATGCTGTGGTAGTGAAGCATTTGCCAGCTGTGTGCTGTTGCCCAAGTGACAATGCTTTTCTTGTCTTCAGGGAGGCTCCGTCTATGTCTCCCAATATAATGGTGAATTGCGTAGAGATACTAGGGTTTTTAAAATACAGTGGTGCCTCGCTTAGCGATGTTAATCGGTGCAGCAAAAATCGCAGCGAACAGAAAACATTGCTAAGCGATTTTAAAAAGCCCATAGGAGTGCATTGAAACCCCTTCAATGTGTTCCCATGGGCAAAAAACCTTTAAGCGAAAATCCTCCATACGGCGGCCATTTTCGCTGCCCGGTATGCGAGGAATCCGTCCCAAAACACAGCGGGCGGCCATGTTTTTTCCCCGGTGGCCATTTTGGAATGCCGATCAGCTGTAGGAAAAAGATCGCTGTGCGATAATCGGTAAGCGAAGCAGCTTACTGATCATCGCAAAGCGATTTTTTCCTATTTAAAACATCGCAATGCAATCACTTTTTTGATTGCAAATTCTTCGTCGCTAAGCGGTCTCGTCGTTAAACGGGGCGCTCGTTAAGCGAGGCACCACTGTACCATCATAAACTAAATAGCTACAGTTTTTATGTCATCCCTTATAGAGTTCCAAAATATGGCAGTGCAAGTAGGTGTCCGTATAATGGTGAATTATTTAGATGCCTACTTTCTCTGCCATATTTTTGTACTTTCTGTGAATAAGGGACAAAACAGGAAAAACTTACTATTCAATTTGTGAAAGTGTTTTAAAAAACCCTAGTATTTTGAATCTGTAGTGTATGGCACATAAGCTCACAATGTTAAAGTGGACCTAGAGTCCTTGCTTATAGAAATCACAGAATCATAGAAAAGTGAAGTTGGAAGGGGCCTAGAAGGCCATCAAGTCCAACCCCCTGCTCATTATTCTGATGAGTTAAGGTAAGAATTAAAAAGGTGAGGGAGTTTATGCTGCCTGGTGTTTATTGATGGAACGGCTGGCCATAAATGTAACAAATACATAACATACTGTAATGAGAATATAGTGACTGAAATCTTGTATTAAATTATGCTGTGTGAGGGCATATCACTTCAGTATATTTGTTGAAAATTAAAAACACCTTATTTCCCTGTGAAGGTCCAGAAGATCCCTTGGGATCCCTGTTTTAATAGGGAACCTCTTGTGGGCTGCAGAATACAGGGAAGTCCAATATCTGAAACTTGCCACTGGTGGGATGATTTTACTGGTAATGGTGGTACTTAGAAATCAAAATCTTCCCCTCAGTTCCTGAACCCCCAGCAGCATCCTAACAATGAAAAGGATCGATCCTAAGGGAGCCCTGGAACCTTTGTGGAGGTGGGGAATCAGGAATTCTGAGTTTCTGGAAAAATGCTGCATTTGGGCCAGATAGGCGGGGTATAAATTAAAATAAATAAATAAATAAATAAATAAATAAATAAATAAATAAATAAATAAATATTATTGGCCCTATGCAGTATGAAGTTACACAACAGGATCTCAGTCATTGTTTTCCTCATATAGATCTTTTAATTTATATTTTACTCTTTCTCCACAGACTTCAGGTGCTTGGTCATTGTTCTCAGAATAATCCTGTGTGATAGTTTAGTTAAGGAATTCCGATTTATCAGAAATATTTCATTCAACTTACTGAATTGAGGGAAAACTTTAATATAGCATGGAATCTTCAGTATGTAACTTTTGGAAAATGATGAGTGCTTTTCCTCTAAATACTTCATACAATGAAGAATTCTAAAACCAGTCACTCCTCTGAATTTTATCCTATGATATTAATAATGTAGGACCAGAAATTCTATGTATTCAACTTTTCTTGATATCTCTTTTCCAGCTTGAAAATCCCAGATATTTACGTGAAAAGCCTATACCCTTGTCACTGGTAGGTAGCATTATTTATTTATTTTTCTTCTTTATCAGTTTCCCTCAGAAATGATTGTAAGTACAGACATTTATTTTTTCCATAGATGTCGCCCAAGATAGTTATTGGGAAAAACAGCAGTTCTCAGGATGAACAGACATTATTCCATATGCATGAAAAGGAGGTATATTATTATTGCTACTGTTTTTAAATCTATTTCTTGAATGCCTATTTGAAGCAATAAAGAATCTCTAGGCATCTTACAAATAAATGTTATTTATTTATTTAAAATATTTCAACCCCACCTTTCTACTCAAGAAGACAGCCCCCTCATAACATTTTTGTGAGTCTTTATTTACTTTTTTGAATTTGTTTATTATGGTTGGTTGACCAGCTCATAAAACATATTTATGGCTAAAATATACAAAATGTCATTTAAAAATATACAACCAATTCATAAAACATATTATGTGGCTAAAATATATCTACTTGGATTAATATGATAGGTGAAAACAAAACAAAAATAAAAAGTTAAAAAAGACAAACACATGATGGTGCCTTAAAACTAATTTTTATATTTTTTTAATGTTTCTTTTTTTAAAAAATAAGCTTTTGTCTTTAAGGTGCCACCATGTTTTTGTCTTTTAAAAACATTTTACTTTTGTTTTGTTTTCACTTATAATGCTTGCACAGACTAACATGGCTATCCCTTCTACAACTTGAATTAGTATGTAGAGTATCTGTATGTCTTCAGAGAAATAATAAATATATGGGTCAAACTATCTTCTAAATAGCATTCAAGAGATTTTTGGATAACAAGCATAATAGAAGGAGAACAAACCTATCAGTATGAAAAATAGTTCAGAGAAAAATGCAATGTAGATATGCAAATACAGTAGGACCCCTTCATCTATAGGATCAGTATCCACTTATCCACTCTGAAAATAATAAAAATATTAAAAGAAAAAACCCAGGGGAAAATTTTTTTGTAATGTATTACCTGAACCGGCCACTAGAGGGATGCAGAGACCATGCTATAGTTAGTGAAGAATGCATAGCATGGTCTCTGGTACCGTCTAGTGGCCAGTTTTGTTCATGAATGTGAAAATATTTTTTTCTTTTTTCTTTCTTTTATCATGCGCTCTCTCTCTCTCTCTCTCTCTCTCTCTCTGTGTGTGTGTGTGTGTGAGATGATAATGTGATCCATATTTACAGCTTCAGAGTGTGTCTTAATAGAAAATAATTTTTTTCTCTCTCTCTCTGGACTTATGCAGTGCAGGCTGTGAGCTATTTTGGGTGCAGATTATCTTGAAGGACTATTTTGTCCCATGAGAGTTTGCCTGGCTCTGGTGTTTTCAGGTGCAGCGTCTTTGTGTCTTGCTTCCTTCATAAGTGTGTTTGGTGGTGAAGTGAGCGGGAGCTTTCTTTGTGGCTATTCCCAGACTATGAAAAGCCTTTTGATGGTTGGGAGCCTGGCCCTCTTTCTCCTTTCCTTCTGTCAGCAGGCAATTACTGTTTTATTTAGACAACCTTTTCAGCAATCGACTGCAGCTGAAAAAGGGACTTTTAAAGATTGGTGCTGTACTTTTTACTTCTATTTTTTATTCATGTGAACATTTTAATTGTTTTAATATTTTAATTTGTTTTATTATGGTTTTGTTTTCCTGATTTTATCTGCTTTTAATTTTATTTGCTCTTGATATTTTGAGTTCTCTTCACTCCCTGTCTTTGGAGGAAAAAAGATATAAACCAGAGAAAGAAAATCCATCCATACATCCATACTCACTCTACCTTTCTTTTAAAGAAGGAACCAAGGCGGCTTACATCATTGAAAGGCAATATTTAAAGCTTTGTCAAAGGTCTAGCAATTTAGTGGTAGTTGCTGATCGTTGAAAGACAGGTAGCTAGTTTTGCTAATTCCCGATAGCCTCTTGCACTATCTCTCGTGCTGTATTTATCAAAGGGCTTCCAACAGCCTAGAAGATATTTTTGTCGGCAAAGAACTACTTTTTCCCATAACATTGGAATCATACACAGTGACCCTCTTTCAGTCCTGCTGATGAAAACCAGCAGGTTCTGTAACTCATCTGCTAGAACATAGTAAGCATTCTGGTCTACATCTCCTGTAAGCCCTAGCTAGCAGAGGAAATGGTCAGGGATTCTTGAAATTGTAGCCAAGAACATCTGGGCAGCACAGGGTTGCCTACCATTGCATTAAGATAATTGAGGTAATGTCAGGTTCAAATACTGTCTGGAAATGGGCTTTAAAAAGATCCACATATCTGGTTTGCTGCAGGAGAAGTAATTTGTGATATAGTTTAAAGGTAAAGGTAAAGGTTCCCCTTGACAATTTTTGTCCAGTCGTGTCCGACTCTAGGGGGCGGCGCTCATCCCGCTCTTCAAGCCATAGAGCCAGCGTTTTGTCCGAAGATAATCTTTCCGTGGTCACATGGCCAGTGTGATTTAGACACGGAACGCTGTTTACCTTCCCACCGAGGTGGTCCCTATTTATCTACTCGCATTTGCATGCTTTCGAACCGCTAGGTTGGCGGGAGCTGGGACAAAAACGGGCACTCACTCCGTCGCGTGGATTCGATCTTACGACTGCCGGATCTTCTGACCCTGCAGCACAGGCTTCTGCGGTTTAGCCCACAGTGCCACCACGTCCCTTATGTGATATAGTTTAGCAATCTGCTAAACTATATCGCAGATTATGATATAGTTTAGCAATCTGCTTTTCAAAGAAATGCAGGTCAATGTGCCAGATGCTGGATGTGTTTAGAATAGAGCCAGGATCCATTGAAGAAACTGAGTGGACAAGTCTCTGAAGAGCCAATTACTTGGATGTTGTGTTTTTAAAAGACTGTGCAAGTAGTTTTATACTGCCTATGGTAGCATAATTTGCTTTTAGACTGTTTTAAATATCTTAATAATAAAAATTTTCAAGGTTTACAGTTTGATCTTGTAGTTAGTTTTCATAAGTTCAACTGAAGTCTATGAGACTAATTTATATGTAACTCTGTTCAAGATTGTAACCAGTATTTTCACAGATTCAATCAAGGCTTGGAGTCTCTTTTTTAAAAAAGGTAGCAACTTGTGCCTCTCTCCTCCTCCATTTTTTTTAGTCCAGGTTATTCTTAGTGACTGCTATTCTGGTACTTTTTCCCCTTTTAGGATATATGGAGTAATTAAAAGTGGCAGCTTTATTTTTTGATGTTCTTGCCATATATGTAATAAACCTACTTCCTGAGATGACATATTGGTATTGAAATAAATATCCCAATTGTACCACACATAGACATTTAAAGGAAAAACCATCATGAACCTGTTCATATACAGTATATAAAATTATTCTTACGTTGTGGTTTTGTGTCTTAATCCACACCCTGAGTTATTTTTTGTTGTTTGCCGATAGCTTACATATATTTTAGTATGTGGTTTCTATAAGAAGCTTGCAAATACTAAATGGTTTGGTATGGAGTTTAAAATGTGGCTGAATGGCAACCTAGCTAAAAAATGAGAAGACATATGCAGTAAGCTGTCCAATGGTGAATGTATTGTGGTTTACCTTCTCCCCATCCCACCGCAAAGTGTCAGTACTTACTATGCAGGATTGAAAACAATTGTGCCACTGAAAAGGTGACAGCAGAGGCTTCTTCTGGTATTTAGAAAATGTGCATTTTAAACATTGGATGTTTTTATAAAGAACATAGGCTAATAATTTCAGGAGAAAAGTCATTGGCTAAAGTTCTGTGTTGAAGCTGCTTCCTTCATTTTCCTGGCTGTGACAAAAGTTCTGTGGCCCCTTAAGCTGGGAAGGTAGCAGGCTGAACAACTTACAATACCACAGTTGTCTCTTGCTTGTAGCAATACTGCAGGATCTCTTGGAAAAAAACAGATGTCCCCTTAGAGCGCAACCTAAAGTTGATGCGTTTCTCACATGCCATGATTGAGAACAAATATTTTGACCAAAATCCTTCAAATACTGTGGAAATACAAGCTATTGTTCATCTAAGCCCCTCTGACAAGGGACACTGAGAAATGTCTAAAAACTAGTCTCAAGTCAGTGGTATTATAATTCTGGCTGGGAATCAAATGAAGAGCGAGGTCTGTTTGTCAAAGGTGAACATTCTACAATCAGAGAGGTGTGTATCTGTGCCCCCGTAGATGAAATAAATGAGAGAGCATTCTATGTGGCACAGCCGAATATGTGTGTGTTAGAAAGAGGTCACTGAATTGAGATGCTGTATTGTATATCAAGTTCAGAATAAAGCTGTGCTCTCTGAGCTTGTTATTTATTGCTTTGCTCTTGTTTGTGCTAGTTCTGCTGCCTTTGATTCCAGTAGCTGGCTGTAGTCTAACTCTGCCTCTTTCTTGGTCAAAACCTGTGGGTTAAAGTAAGCAGAGCTGACTGTCAGGAATTGGAGACTTTTATTTTAACATTAGGTTACTTCAGGAAATTCATCATTACCATTCATCCAGGTTAATGGGTGCAATTGGTATATCAATGGACCTGTAAGTAATGATTAGACATAATTTGTTACACAAAACAAAACATCTAGCAATGCTAGTTGTTGTTGAATTATTTTGAGAGTAACTTTGTTCCCCCTCATTAAAAAAAAAAGCCTCGTGGTGCAGTGGTTAAAACGCTGTACTGCAGCTAAAACTGTGCTCACGACCTGGGGTTCAAATCCCAGGTAGCCGGCTCAAGGTTGACTCAGCCTTCCATCCTTCCGAGGTCGGTAAAATGAGTACCCAGCTTGCTGGGGGGGCAATGTGTAGCCTGTATAATTAAATTGTAAACCGCCCGGAGAGTGCTTGTAGCGCTATGGGGCGGTATATAAGTCCAATAAATAAATAAATAAATAAAATATAATCCCCAGACTAAAGGTGTTACTTCTAAGATCTACTGTAAAAAAACTTATTTCAGAATATAAGATCTATTTGTTCAATCTTGTAATGCATTTTCCTGCTTTTCTTTATGCTCTTAATAGCCACTTCCTGTTCAAGGAACAGTTGAAAACTTTAGAGAATAGTAGGAACACTACAATTAACTTTACATTTGGCAATCTTGCTGATTATTTCATTTTCTTTTTTTTTCTATTTCTTTTTCTCTTCCTTCTTTGCTTTTCATTTTTTTCCTTTGACCTTCAATGGAGTGAAGATTTTATTAATGTGAAGGAC